ACCAACAACACCAACAACAACAAAAAAAACAACAACAATGGGGCTACTTTCGTTTGGGACCTCAGAAGGGAATGGTTTGTTTTCTTCATCTTGATCAGTCCTGCCTAAGACGGCCACCTGTCTTATACAGCCACTTTTCTCCATGACAATGGGTGGCCGTCTTACACAGGTTCGACTGTACTGAAAAATTAAAGAGATATCAATCATAGTACTGCAAATTGTTCGAACTATCCATGATTGTGAGTTTTCGTGTTTGTGTTATCTGGGCCTGACAGTTTTTTCCCATAGATCATAAAACCAATGTTACTACGAAGTTCAACAACAAACCTCTTTCCATCTTGTGCTTGTAGGATGTTGTGAAGAACTCGACCATTTCATCTGTGATCTCCATCTTCATTTCTTCATCACTGGGCCGCGATGATCCAGAAACAGCTGTCTCCGTGCGGCTGTTGTCCCCATGTGATGCTACATTGTCGGCACTCCCAACCCTCTGTCGTTCCTTAGCCAGCCGACGATTCCTGAAGTATATAAGTCTGAGTTTAATTTTAACTACAATATAAATTATAATCTTAAGCCTTTCCTTCAATGAATTATAGGAGGGGAGAGAGCTTTGAAAAAGGGAAATGAATTTTAGCAAGCCAGCTTCTTAGGTTACAAACTTAACTGGAAAAACAATATAATACTCTACTGGAGAAATCAACAGAGATGCACATGGGTTTCTGATTTCACACAAGTAGCGAGGAAGAAACGAGAACCCTAGATCATGCACTTGTCTTCCCTTCTGTAGCTTTCATGGACACATCTTTATCAAATGGTTAAATCATATTAGAATCTAAATGTAACATGTATATACTTATTTGAAGACAAATTGAAATCATGTTCAAAACACCAGGATTCACGAAGCAAAAAGCCAAGAACAGCCTGAATTTTTTCAGGAACTTCATTTTAAAAACCTGATTTTCAAAACAGTTTAAACATGTTACCTGTTGTCACCCTCCTGACTCAATCCAAAAGATAATTTTAGCAAAATGCAGATCACTAGGTGATGTTGAGACAAAAGAAGCCACTTTAAAAGTACCGGGCTCAATTTTAAATAGAGTTTAAAAATTTTCACTCAATTGAAAGTTTTGGACCCATTTTCATAGCTGCCTACTATACCTCTTAAAAGAAGCCAGCCAGTAGTCAATCTTCCTTTAACTTAAATCAAAAAAATATATGATGAAATGGAAATCAGCACAACATTTTTAACAGGGCAGGCTGAGCTTGAGTAAACTAACAAAATAAGACAGAACTGAGTCCTCTAAAGAAAATTTAGACATTCAAATTACTTGTACCGGTAATGGATTTGATATATAAGCAGTGCAACGTCTAAGCACTACCTCAAAAGGAACCGATGTATAGTCACTTTGAATACATAACCATCAAATCATCAATTTTATGCTTAAGAAGTAGGAGGATTTTCAACCAAACCCTGTTACCTTGCCCTCCTGGATCGTCTTGCCTTGCGGGCACGATTGCTGCTCTGTTGCCTCCTGCCCTGATGGGAAACATTAGCAGCTGCACCCACTCCCATCTTAAACCCGGACAGTTTCTGGACAGTCTTCAAATGGAGCTGATACCAGTCCATCACAAATCGGTAGTTGCTCCAGTAGCGATCAAAGCACTGGGCTTGGTACCAAGTTGCCGATGACAAATCAGGGAGATGAGGACGTTCGTCTGATTTCTGTTTAGACCCTCTGCTGCTGTTTTCTGAGTTGCTAGCACCATTACTGCTGTCTATATCAACAGAATCCTGGACAGTATTATCATTCGTCAAAGTTTTATCTGGGTCTTTGCAAATACTACTTGTGTCTGAGAAGTCAGTGCTCAGTCTGTTCTCTGGGTCATCAACACCCAAATTTTCCACACATCTCTCGCGGTCACAATACGTCCACAACTTTTGAGAATTTTTGTAAGAATTGTCAGCACTGGCCTTCCTCAGAGGTAGAGGATTAGAGCCATAAGGAAACAAAGGAGCGACAGGCAGCTCGACCGCTGCTTGACTTATAGTTTTTAAATCCTTATTACTGCACTCTTTTGTACTCTCCCGTTTACAACCAAAATAACCCTCGGTGACATTTCCTATTCCCAGCTTTGACTTTCCTTGCTTCAACGCATCTCTTGTGGGCGTTTTTGAAATAGAAATGCTGACCAGTCCTGGCGTCAGTTTATCATCAGTGTTGTAGTCGGAGCTGCTGAGCACAGAGGATGTGACGAGTGAGTAGCTTGACTCAGTCGTGTCAGACTCGGAGTCGGCCGATGAGTCTTCCTCAGTGACAGAGGTCATAGAGCTCGTCTGTCCTTTTTCAGCCATCTTGTGGAATGAGAAAAGAGGGAAAAAAAATTAAAATTTAAGCTGTGACTTTTTAACGGTCAATTTGAAGACCAAAACAGCAACCACACACACACCCCCCTTCCCCTTTTGGAAAACATATATAGATCTCCAATTTGAACAAAAGCAAAGCTTAAGTACACTTCAGATAGAACTCATTACTTATGATGCCTACAACCATCTGACATACAAGCCTTTTAATTTTTATTAAGTCAGCACGTCTAATGTCTAAACGCTGAATTTGCAACATTACAGTGGCTCTTAGTTCTACTCAGTAGGTGCTGAGGGTAACTCTTTGTATTAAAGAATAGTTCCTCATCTCACCCAGCTTTTCAAAGGAAGTATGAGAAGGATGTAGAATTATGTGTACTCTAAAAATATCACATTTGAAAGCAGTCTACTCCAAGTTTTCGTGTTGCTTTTCAAAGTTTTTTTAGGACGTGCAAACAAAAAAAAAAGACCCAAAAAATAGCTGACCAAGGCATTTTAAAAATCATCAAGCAAGTTGAGACAAACAAACTCAAAGCAAAGCTTAACAAGCCACTCAGCTATTTCTTTTTGAGGTAGAGAGCGAATATGATTTTTAAGAGACTGATGTCGATCATTCATTCTTCACAACAATTATAACGTTATTACAGTGACTCCAGTCAATCTAAAGCCAAAGTAACAATAAAATGGATCTCCAGATAGTATATCAGGAGGGCTCCTTAGTGTGCATTCATTCACATGAACCCATGCAAAGGGCGAAAAGGATCCAACCATCTCATTTCCAACATTTTTAGATTACTGACCTCCGTTGGGTGATATGTGGTTTCCGCTCTCGAGATTTGTTGATCATAAGCAAATGGAGTGGCCCGCGTGTGTGTGTGTGAGTGTGTGCACGTGCAAGTGACAATGTGTCTGTGTGTAAGGTGTGAACGGGTTGGGGGGGGGGGGGGGGGAACGTGGAGGGATTTTTTTTTCCTGAAGGATGTTAGTTTTTGCTGGGTGACTAAATGCAAAATAGGTTACTCTACCAAGGTCGAGTAGTCTTGTTTTCTCGCAGTACCTTTTGAAGGTATTTTCAAATGAAGTATAGTCCGGGAACGTTGCCCCAACCACAAATGAAGTATCTGAATATTCAGATTAAAAATCTCTAGCTCTACAAATTGAATTTGATGCAAAAAATGTTTCTTCCCAGTCCTCCCAGAATGAAAGGATGACGTCTAAATCTCGCAAATAACCCCAAAAATCTCGAGATCGGAAACCGTTCGGAGAAATAGAGTTCGACTTCATTTTTCCGAACATTCGGAGATAGAAAATCTAGGCTAGAATCTAGATCTAGAGCCTATGTACGGCATACCGTCACGTACGTCAGACCGTCAGTTGGCACGCATTTGGCCTAAAATTGGGCAACCAGACAATTATGCGATAACCTGGAATGCTATCTGCTGAACAATTCCGTTCAACATTGTTTTGTTTTCAAGTTCAACAATTTTGAGCAGAATCAGACACCTGTGTGAGCAGAAATAATCCATTTCATCTCAAACGGTAAGAACCGCGTTCAGCCATTACGGCTTGCAGATGCGCAATGCGTCTTGGGAAATAAGCTATTGGTTCTTTTATCGTACCCGCAGGATTGGTTTCGCATTTTTATTCAGTTTATAAAGTGTCTAGTTACCGCCACAAACCATTCGCTGCTCTTTGTTGTAACAATTGGCGCCCGTAGGGGGGGTGACTGTATGGGGTACACTTTTTGAGGGATGTACCCGATACCGTCATTATTTTTTTACATGGTGCGTGACTTGAAAAATAGTTATTTCTTGACGGACTATGGATGGCATCTTAGTTCTTTAGATTTTTTAGTTTCTATGATTTGATATAAATCTACATAGATCTATTTAGACACGGATTCATTAGAAAATGAGCGACTTTAGATTTTTCTTTTTTAATGTTTGAAACAAATTTATATGAAGGTAACTCTAGCCCGTTGTATGTAATGATGATGATGATGTTCCTCTGTCCAATGTACATGTTGTGATGATGTTCTTCCAGCCACTGTTTCCACATGTTGTGATATTGTCTGCTCCTACTGCTTCTGTTTTAGAAGAAGAACTTGCTGGCCCTCCCCCAACTGCCCTTGTCTCTAGTTGTGAGTGGTCAGTTGATGCCCTAAACTTTTTGACCACAGGTCTGGAGTTCTCGGGGATCGAATGTACCTCCAAGGACTTCCTGGATCCTGCAGCAGAGTTTCAGCTACCTTTGGTTTCAACACCAGCTCGGGATCCTATGGATAACCAGGACCATGACTATTGTCTGCCTGAGCAGGCATTGAGACCATTGGAAGATGAAACTCTGGTGACACCCCAAGCCCCCCAAAAACTGCCTCAGGACAACACTTTTGCTTTGTCCTTGACAAGCTAATTGATCACGCCATTGCCACTGGATGGATGGCATCAGACATGCATTGGGTCCGCCGTTGCCATTGGCACAAAATCGAACCTATGGAGAGCGAGGGGGCATGCGGAAAGTACCTTGATTTGTAAAATCAACTCATTCCTGCCCCCTCGTTCGTCAACCTGCCCATACCAGCAAGCTGGAACTCAAGGTTTCAACACAGAGAGGCGGGCTCAGGCCCCTAAGTATGTCTTACGGGCAAAGTACGATGAAATTGGAAGAAGAGAAGAAAAAGGAAGAAGTGGAAAAGAGGAAGAGAGAAAGGGAGATAAAAAGGTGAAGAAGGAAGAAGAGGAAAGTTAACGAAGTTGGAGAAGCAGAGAGCAGCTTAGGGAAGAAGAAGAAACAACAGGGAAATGAAGTGGGAGTAAGGGAATGAAGAGGAAAGTACAGGCAAAGATGATGAAGCAAAAGAGAAGAAAAGGAGAGAGTGAGGAGGGGGAAGAGAATGAAAAGGAGGTGGGATTGGTTTACGACGATGACCGCTCCGCAGTTTGTTGTGATACATGTGGAAGAGTAAAATGAAGCATTCATGTACTTGTGTGTGAATAAAAGATGTTCAAGTGAGTTTGTTGTGATATGTGAGGAAGAGTAAAATGAAGCATTCATGTACCTGGGTGTGAGTAAGATGTTCATATCAGTTTGTGATATGTGTGGAAGAGTAAAATGAAACATCCATGTACCTATGTGTGAGTAAGATGTATGTGAGTCTGTTCTGGTGGTTGTTCTTATAAAAGTATGTCAATAAACATTAGTTCTGTCTTAGGCCCACTGTACAAAAGGAGTTCGTCTTTGCTCCTTTCCTCTTTTCAAACGCCTAGTTGTGCTTCAATTTGGGTGTGCTGGTATGGGGTGTAGTGGGTGACGGTATGGAATACATGTACATGCCATGACAGAAACCCCGACACGTGACGGTATGGGGTACATGTCATGGCATGCGTCAAGTCTCGGTTAGGGGTCTTCTTTATACACTATCTGACTAAAAACTTCACCCCACACCTACAGAAAAGGCTGGCCTCTCAACGAAACGAAATTTTGGGTCGATGTTTTGGAAAGAGCCGAAGTTATGGTAATACAAAACACTAAGGTGACGGTATGCCGTGCAGGGGCTAGAATCTAGATCTAGATTCTAGATCTATCTATTCACTAATATTTTTATTTGTAGTCACTTCTCGTCCTCATTTCTACTTTCTCACTCCCCCCGCCTTACTGGCTGGCACTTGGACTTGAGTCACTTGACAACATCAATCAAGTATTATATGTAGCCTGCCTACATTGTATAGTATACTATTAATATAATATTATTGTTTGAATCAATTTCAGAATGACAAGAGTTTGCACTGTCTTCACTCAAAAGGGCCCAGAAGACCCAGCCTCACCCACCCACCCAACCAAAAGGCCCAAGTTTTTGTCCAATGACACTTAAATTGCAGGTGTTCCAAGGTTGGAACAAGAAAGCAGTTTTCTCTTTTTACTAAAAATATAGACTATTTACCGTGGAACGAATCCAAAAGTGATCTAGATCTAGATCTAGATCTAGATTCTAGATTTCAAGATCTAATAGAAGTTGTCAATTGGAAAAACGTCGACAAACGAAATGAAGAAAAAAGTAAAACATAGCCTAAACAAAACAAAAAGGTACTTCTCACTGTCAACGAGAGTTGTGGGACCTGGTTTATAGTCGATACTTTAAAAAATAAATAAGTTTTCGATTTTTTAAATCAAGTTGAAATCTACAACTCTATCTCTTACTTTTGCTTAAAGAATTCATCGATGTGTCTAGTTAGACTTGTACATAAATAGCAAACAGAAAGAAAGCAGACAAAGCAACTGATAATAATAATAATGTACTTTTTAAATAACAAAAGGAAAGAAGAGGAAACTTTTCACTTCTCTTCTCTGGTTTATGGTATCGATGTAGCGTCTTAAACATTTAATTTCGATTACATAGAAACTAATTTTCCAGCTATGTTTACCCGTTGAATGCCAAATAGTGTCTTTTTCCTGTAACAAATACAATGTATAATTCGAATGTACAACACTTTCATATCCCTGTTATTTCTCTACCTAAATAAACGATGACTGTTGTTTGATTAATACCAAGGTATGGAAGAAAATACACAAACATTGATGATAAATTGAGGTCGAAATAATAACAAATATTGAATTAAACACGTTGACTTCTTCTATTCAAGACCAAGCTGGCAAATGATAAAAAAATTGGCCCAAAAAATTAATGCCGTGCAGTGTGCAGCAAGTGGGATATCAGCGTTTCATTGCGGAAAACAAACTGGCAATATCATTTTGTAAAGGTGCATTTTTTCCAAATTATTATTATTATTATTATTACTATTATTATTATTAGGACTATAATGTTGATGATGATGATGATGATGATGATGATGATGATGATGATGATGATGATGATGAACGTTGCTGCTGAGGAAGCCTGCGTAGCGAAACGTCGAGCCGATTCTATAAAACTCATTTTAAACATTTCATATGTTTACATTTTTGTGTCTGTAAGTCAAACAAGACTCTCCCTCCTACTCTGCGTTTTAAACAATGATGATGATGATGATGATGATGATGATGATGATGATGATGATGATGATGATGATGATGATGATGATGATGATGATGATGATGATGATGATGATGATGATGATGATGATGATGATGAGATTGTTTATTATTACTATTATTATTAGCCTATTATTATCATTATTATTATTAGGCCTGTTATTATTCATATTATTATTATTATTCATATTATTATTATTATTCATATTATTATTCATATTATTATTATTATTAGTATTAGTATTGTTATTATCATTAGGCATATAAAGTGCACTTACTACATTTCATTAATACAAAGAACATAGTTCAAATTTTATAATGACCTTCTTGAGACATCAAGCTTCCCTCAGTGTTTCCACTGTGCGTGATGAGGAGCCTTCATCTTCTCTGTTGTCGTTGAACCATGCTATAAATGCTTCCATGACTGTTGGTGGATTATAATTGCATGTGTCTCGTGTGCACCCAAGAACAGTCAGCATACCTTCATTCTGAATTCTTTCAAGGCGTTTCAGCCGCGACGTTGATAAGGTGAGGAGACCGAGGTCATAAATATTTAATCACATATAGCACAAGAGTCTAGCACAGTATGGCTAAAATTCTCTTGGCACTCAGTTACACGCCACGGTTTTCATTGCTCTTGTGACGATCCTGGTCACGTGATCTTTACCTGAGAGTGATCTGTCGAAAGTAATGCCTAATAGAGATACCTATGTATCATACTATGTGAGTGCTCACGCTTCAGGACCCTGTTGCTGACGCTTACGGTGAGCATCTCTGCTTTCACTGCGTGAGTATTCAGCGAGCACCACAGCACACAGACCTTGTCGGGGTGGAGTTTGCCGTTGTGGTCTACACACCATTGCCCAATTTGATCCAGCTCCTGTTGCATTGCATTATAGCTATTTCTTGCCGGTCCTTCCCCTGACTGTATACAAGGATATCATCAGGAAAGCTCAGCACACGGCCTTAGCTTTCCAGTTGTCCAGAAGTGATTCCAACTACTTATAATATTATGATGAATATCACTGGTGCGAATGCTGACCCCTGCGACAACCCGGTGTGATGCTTCTTGTGTCAGATGTTCAATTTCCCAGTGACATTGCAACTCTCCTCTTCAGCAGTGCTTCGCCTACCCTTATTATTATGACGAGCTGAGGGCTAATCTTCAGATCGATCATTGTTCTCCAAAGGACATCATACTCAACATTAGGCTATTGTAGACATCCTCTAAGTCAATCACGTTTATGACAGTCTCCTCTCCTTTTTTCAAACCCAACATAAAAACGAAGTGACTATTCGGACTCGAGTCCGAATATGAAAAAATGTTATTCGGACTCTGATTCTTGTCCAGCATGACATCACTTCCGATTTCCTGTGACTCGTGACTCCGGCTTCCTGTCCTGCCTCACTCGTGACTCGCCTCAGGCTGGGTAGAGACCGGGATCACTTCGGGCAAAATGGCGTTAAATTGTGCAGGAGCCGAGTTTTTATTTTATTATGAATTTGAGGCCGGCCTGAAAAGTTATAGCGCTTCTAATAATTGTTTATTTGTCAAGAGGTCATCAGAAGCAATTAAAGATGGCTCGTTAGCGTGTGGCGGGGTCGGATGGGCGGCCTGCACACGTGTGGCTGTGTGTGCGTGTCGGGGAGGGGGTGTTGAACGTCGCATACGCGTCAGTCCCCCCCCCCCCCCGCAACTGATCATTATTACAATAATAAACTAGTCTTGACGTATATCTACGTATGAATTGTGCGCTGGTCTATGGAATCAAAAGTTGCCGTATGCTCAGCTCTACACAGCAGCACAACTTTCTCTTAGTAAACAATCGAGATGACACAGGTCTGTGTATTTGAACGAATCGGTCTTTTTTTTTTTTACACAGCTTATAATATGCAGGTGCCAGGTGGTCTGCTTATCTTCAATTGTACCTTTTTCTACAACAAAGAAAGTGGGAAACATGGGGGGGGGGGGGGGGGGGCGTATCAATGAGGCGGCCGGCATTGGATCGGCAGAAAAGGTGTGGGGGAAACTAAAAAATGGCGGAAAATTGGAAGCACTGAACGATAGATCTATAGAACGAATACACTTCCTTTTTTTCCGGACCCGAGTCCGAATAATGACGGCCCATAAAAAAATATATAATTAGCCTACTGTTCGAACTAAGGGTGGGCCGACTCCGAGAACTTCCGAACTTTCGACTCCGAACATTTTTGGGCGCGAATTCGTCGACTTCGACTCCGAATTCGAATTCAGGTCAAGATAGCAGCCAATCAAATTTGAGGAGAGGCAAGGTCAATTCGGTGGGATTCGTGTCAAGTCAAGTCGTTCTCCCTACAGCCGTCGAGTCGAACACGCTGCAGAGAATCCCGACTCCACGGACCAGTGTAGACAAAGGGGGCGGGGAGGGGGGAGGGGGAAGGAGCAGGGAAGAGGTCACAGAGGTCGGGATTGAGGCAGGCAATGTTTTCATTGACATCAGGGGAGGGCACCAGTTTGTTTTGAAAGTTATTTGCCCCTCGTTGACAGTACAGTCGCATTCATGTGCGAGGATAATGGATGCAAACAGGTCATAATAAAAATCAAAGCATAAAATCCCGCAGTCTCGAACTCTAAAGTCAGACCATGCAAATCAAAGCAACAGTCAGCAAGACAGAAGTCTATAAAAAATAACAGTAATAGATCTAGATCTAGATTTATATCATAATCAACATTTATTATGACAAGATGAAACATACAAGGTTGAAAACAAACATGGAGTAATGACGAGAAATGTGACAATGTAAATGTAAGTGCCAGACAGGTCGTAAGAAAATACATGTAGATAGTACAATGAAGAGAAGAAAAGTAGTGAAATGTGTGTGATCGTAGTGAAAGCCAAAGAAAGAAGGAGGTTGGGATAATCACGGGATTTGAATTTGACGTGAAGATGGCTTGCAATTGTGATTGGTGCAATCAGAGACGCAATGCTCGTCCGTCACCGTAGTGCGTAAATTTGACCTTGGCCTCTTAGGGCATAACCACCAGCAAATCAGCGCGTTCTAAAAGCTCATGTGACTTTCATTGAGTCGATGGAATCGTGGGACGGTCCAATTCGAACTCGCTGCTTCCTGCTGAACACAGCGAGGGGAAAATAGAAATAAGACATCGTGTTTTATGATACTTTTCAAACTTATGCATTTTTATTCATTCAAATCTAACTTTTGAGCGTTCAAAAATGTTTCTTGGGTGCAGTTTTGCGTAAAATTATTCAGTTTTTAACAAATTAAATATGTTTTCGCTCCTCGTGATCTATTTTCCCCTTGGCTGCCCTAGTTCGGGAATTCGTGTTCGGACTCGTCCTCCTGCCCAATGTTCGATCTCCGACTCAGACCCCACGAATTCGTCGAATTCGTCGAATTCCGAATCTCGACTTGACTTCGCCCATGCTTAGTTCGAACAGCGGCATTCATTCACGTTTCCTTCCCCCTTTCGCAGCTTCCGGGAGTTGCTGGAAGTGCTTCTTCTTTTTCTATAGCTCTTTTGCGACCGAGTACCCCACCTCCTTTTCTAAGAGCTTGCTCATAAATTTTTACATCGTGATGATTCTACAAGCAGCTGTCTTACCTAGGTCCTTTTCGGGCTTGGGGAGTGGCACTAAGTGGCTGTCCAACCAATCATCATCCGGTTTCTCTCCGTTCCATTGACGAGGATTTTTGTAAATTTTCTGATGCTGTCCTCAGCAAGGTTTTTCATGTGAGAGAACCGTACACCATCTGGACCTTGGTTGGGCGTGGTTGGGGGAACCCTCGATTGTTCTCTCGTGCAACGCCATCGTGACTGAGGGTGTAATTGAGGAGTTCATTGGCGTACCATTGGCGTATTGCACAGAGGAGCATTTTTTCGGTCATTTTCGTTGCCCTGGTCTGTCTAAAGTCTGAAGAATATATCGCGTAAACAGCGTCTCACCGTTCTCCTGGTCTGACCGCGCCCACATTTCGCCCTCCCTTTGGAAGTCTGGTAGACTTTTGGCCGGCTTTGTTTTCATCATTGATCTGTACAGCTGCCAGAATTTGTAAACTGCCTTGCCATCTGTCTCCTCTTGACAAACATTTTCATAAATGTGTTCTTTAGCCTCTTTCGCCACGACCGACCTTGAATAATTCTGAAGCTCTACCTCTGTTCTTTTACTTTTCAGGTCTGGGTTCTCTCGGTTGCGTTGGCATGCTTGTAACGACTTTCTTTTCGCTCTCCACAATTTGTCCAGCCTACAGCTGTTAAGTCTTTTAAACAACATTGTACCGCATGACCAATCCCATTCGACCACTTTGCAGGTTTGAAACAATCCATTAGATTTTGTTATCTTTCCTATTTTAATCTTCTTTAATTTTTATCTGACCACCGGCAGGCTTATCCAATAAAGTGATTATGAGGAGTAACAACAAACAAAACTTTTGTTTTACAACCTGGTTCTACAATTTTATAAACAACTTTATAATAACTAGACCCTAAACTACCATGTTTGTGATTTGAGAAGCTTGTACAGTCGTATTTCTAAGACATCCACATTTCCTTCGTAAGTCGTTGTGTTGGTCGTTACCATATTATTATTGGTAATTTAATTCGCAGTGATGAGCAGGATATTTTTGGTTTTGTGTATGTGGATTTGTAACAACCCCAAAAAAATACTTTTGTTTGGATACCTCGTTCTGCAGTTTTACAGACAGCTTTTGTGCTGACTACTCTACAAGCATGTGTGCCAACTGAGAAACCAGATACGTGTAATTCTCTAACACCTAATTTTCCTCGAAAAGTCGTTATTACGTTGGTATTTAATCTGTTGGTCGTTACATTTTCAGTGTTAAGCATAATATTTTTGGCTTTGCGTATGTTTATGTGTGAAAACAACAGCAAAACCCCCTTTTACTTAAATACCTGGTTGCGCACTTTTACAAGCAGCTTCGTAATGAATAACTCGAGGCAAACATGTTTGTCATCTGAGAAGCCAGATATAGTCGTAATTCTTAGACATTCAAATTCCATTGTAAGTTATTATGTTGGTTGTTACTACGTTGGTCATTACATTCTCAGTGTTGAGCATAGTAGATTTGGTCTCGTGTACGCGTACTTTTGTTACAAATAACACAATTTTTAAAAGTTTTACAACCTGATTTAAATTGCATCTATGCGGGCGAAAAGACCTAAATTAATTTAAAAGGAAAGAAAAGCTACAATTGGGGCTTTCTGATTCGGTGGTGATACAATGGAATGGATCAATCAACATGTATTTTGTTGAGTCTCAATTGTTGCAGGTATAATCAATCCGGTTGCCGGAATAAGATTTTTTAGTTTAATAATCTTGTCCTTGGCCGTTGAAACAACGCCAAGAGCCGAGAGGGAACATTGGTACATTGGAAGCTTTGGCTGGTTTCTTACATTACATTAACCCTAGCCCTAGCCCTAACCAAGAGGGTGGGGGGGGGGGGGGCATCCTTTTCCATAAAAAACAACTAAACAACAACTAAATTTTAATACTTCCAATTTCTATCAGAGAAAGCGGGTGAGGTGTACTGTATGTCCTTTCTTCTCACCCGAACCCTTCACTTCCTTTACCTACTCTGAAGAAAAAGGTGAAAGGTTGTGTTAAAAATGTTCCAAGGGTCACATACTACTTTAAGCGTTTTCTTTCTTTAAAAAAAAGTAATATTATTTTTACACCAAATTCTCTGCTTGTTGAGATCTAAAGGAAAAGAGCAGGAGAAAGGAACGAGGATGGGGGGGGGGGGGGGGGGCATATTGTGGTAAAAGTGAACTTGAACCCTGCATTGGGAACCTACTTGACCTACACACTACATGGTCTACACACATCCAGGATCTCCACACTCTCTATTGGGGCCGCTTTTGGAGCGCCGTGACGGCATGCATAGAGGACGCCTCTTATCTAGATTCCTATTTCTTATTTATTTTGAGAATCGGCGCAGGTGGAAGGGGGGGGGGGTGAATGTACTTCTACTGTAACTAGTAACACGCAAAAGGCAATGTTGTCATGCCGCACATTTCAAACTCTCTTGCCAAAATCAGAAACACGAATTTGCATGTCATAGCAACAGATTTTAAAAAACCCAGAAAAAACCCCCAACAATAACAACCAAAAAAAAACAAAACAACAACAACAAAAAAAACCCCAAAGGAAACACCTGTATAGACCAAGAATTTATGAATTTTAATTAAAAAAACAAAAACAAACAACAACAAAAGAGTGAACAATGGAAACATCTGTATAGATTAGGAAGTTGTCTTTCTTTTATTTTCTTTTAAATGTCCCCTCAATAATGCGTTTTTAAGTGTTGCCAAATGGCCGTAATGCGCTGCTTCTTCAATGAGTTAAGAAGCACTAGAACATATTTTTTAACAAGATACCTTTATTTAATAAAACAGTGAAAAGCAATTTCAATTTCAAATTTGCTTCAAAAAGCAACGTGAAAATGAGTAAAGCACTTGAAAGATTTAACAAGATACCTATATTTAATAAAACACCGGAACGTGATTTTAATTTCAACTTTGATTCTAAAAAGCAACATTAAAAATGAGAAATCTGTCCAAAGTCCAGTCAGTTCTTCAAGGTACCCGAACATGTCCACGGTACAGCAGCATCCCCGAACCGGCACACGAGACGGCCATGACAGTGTCCGCCGCTAGGAAAAACGTACTCCCTTCTTTCAAGCTCAAGGTTGCCGGTGCTCCTCGTTGGCATGTGGCTGTACCGTGTCCCTTGATGACAATGCAGATGCTTGGGCTACAGATGGCGTCCATCTCAAAACTCTCGTTGTGGTTTGGAACCTGGACGGTCAATAAGAGGATGATGCTCAATATTCAGTTAGTCCCACCACGGCAGGAAATCGCTACCTCAAATTTTCAAAATCCTCTCTGATTTTTGGCCGTCTTCAATTACTAGTATAATGTATATAGATGTCAGAAACCAAATGTTGTATCTGATCTATCAAAATCGTAAAATTATTCAGAGTCATTTTCAAGATATCCAAGGAACTACATTCGAAAAAGCTTGACATGATGTCAAATTCAAAACCGTTGACGTCAAATTTCTCGAAACTTTGTTCTGTGCAGATAGAACTTTGAAATACTATAGGGTAGCGAAATGTTGTATTGTCTAACAACCCATCTTTTCACGGTCTTCCTCTTGCTTTTATTTTTTAGTTTGGTTGGAGTTTTACGGTGCTCGTAACTGCATAAGGTCATTAATTAAACATGCGTCCTCTTGCTTTGAACAACCATGAAAAATAAGAAGGACTAAGGACCCTCCCCCCTTCTTTAACAAAAAAAACAACAACAAAAAACACCCAACCATCCCATACCCTGATCCCGCCGATCAAACAGCCACAAAGCACGAATATAATTTTTCACGTGAAATTACCTCATATTTCGTTATCCCGAAGTCCGGGAAGGGCGTGCTGAAGCGAGTAACACGCACGTCATTCTTTGATATGTCTTCTCCCTGTAGCTTGGGACAGATGGCATACGCGTCAGAATAGTCCAGCATCTCAATCAGTGTATCAATGTCCATGTGTTTCTGCGTGAACGCCCCACGTATCAAGTTATCGGAGCTGGCCATGCACTCGACGCAGTCTGTGAATAACAAGGAGGGCCCAAAATCAACAAAACGAGTAAAAAAGAGACTTATTTTCTACTTTAAAAAACGCATCTCCCGCGACACCCAAAAGGGTATAAGCGGCAGATAAAAGTAAGATAAACGTTTATAAAAAGCATAATCAAATATCCAAATATTAAAGAAACTTTGTGTATTATGTATACATGGACTGGCCTGGGTATAAAAGAATTAGGAACGGCAGCAGCTCATGACCGTGAAAGCTAGAGGGTCATTACACGTCAACCTCTGAGTTAGAGATGACACAATACCTTTAGGACAGAATATTATGTATACATGTGCCAGTGTGAAGTAGAGATTTCTGTGATGCAAATCAATCCTGATCATGACCTTTTTGTGTCTTGGAAGATGATCTTAAAGTTAAAGCAAAGTGCTTGGTCGGTAGACGTAGAGGAAGTTGATTGCCCAGTTCTATTTTCCTCCCTCAGATAGTGTCTGCCCTGATATGCACAAAAAGGAGCGTCATTCGTTTGAATTCAGGGAAGGATTATCGTTGCGTTATCATAGTAAAACTTATTCAGGTGTCCAAGATTAATTAATGTGCAACATCAGAATTTAGGCAACTATTCGGGGTGGGGAGGAGAGTGTAGGTAAATATTATTATATATAATCAATTGATGCTGTTTGTTAGGGTAAAGAAAATAAGCATTATTATATCGACACAGTAATGGTCATTTAGTGCAGAGAAACAGTAAGGAAGAGAGACAAAAACAACAGATGGAAAGTACAATGTAAATAAGTAGTAGGACCTATCAGTAACGCCCTCGAACCATCCACCCAATAGATGTTGAAAACAAAAATAAAGAAAAGGACAGGGATCAATCAAATCAAAGTAAGACTAGGAATCCAAGTTCACCTCCAGAGATGTAGGCGTGTGGAACTGACGTGTTCACAAACACAGCCTCGCCTGGCGTCAGATGCAGAACGTTGAGGAAGTAGATGGAGAAACAGCCTCTGTCTCCTGGGTAGTCTTCGTAGACTTTGAGAAACACCTCTCCCTCCAGATGAGAAATGTCTTCACCGTTCTTCTCTGAAATACGAAAGCCATTGATCCCCAGCTGAGTACCATCTATTCTGATCTTAGACAGCGAAAGATCTTGTCAGTTTGTTAATTTTTGAGGGCTTAAGGCCATTTGCTGTTGAATACGCTCAAATTCAAAACTGCTCGTTTCAGGGTGTTTTAGTGCTTTTCTTTGAAGGCTTATTAGATTATATATTAGAAAATACCACAGAAAAAAAATACGTGTTCATTTTGAAAAAGCCCAAAATGGCGGTCATTTTGGATTTTTAATTACCATATATGTACCCAATATTACAATTCAGGTCATAGAGAGAAACAGTTCTTAGCTCTTTTAAACAGCAGTATACTTTTTTTCTAAACTATTGTCTCCTCTCTCTCTCTCTCTCTCTCTCTCTCTCTCTCTCTCTCTCTCTCTCTCTCTCTCTCTCTCTCCCCTCTCTCTCTGTCCTTCTCTCTCTTTCTCTC